GCCACGTTCACCCGTCTGCCTGGGTCGAGTCTGTACACACTGACTACTGAGCGTTCTCAGGTAGCTGCGTCTGGTCAGGTGTCCGCGTCAGGTCCGGTAGCAGCCCCTTGCTCGTGTCGCCTCCCGACGCACCATAATCTCTTGTGGCACCACCGCCTTGGTCACCCCTCTCTGCCACGCCTTCGTGGCATGCACTCCTGCCTCCTTGTTTCTGGTCTTCCCAGGTCTCTGCCTCCCCTACCGCCCTCGCCTGCCCCGCCCTGCCTTCCTTGCGTTGAGGAGCGGCAGCGCGCCGCTCCTCACTCCTCCTCGTTTCCCCCGACGACTGCTCCCCTGCAGACTCTCCACATGGACGTGTGGGGCCCAGCCCGCGTAAGTGGACAGGGCTGCGAGTGCTACTTTCTGCTGGTTGGTGATGACTACACGCGTTACACCATGGTCTTCCCCTTGCGCAGCAAGGGTGAGGTCCCTCATGTCTTGATCCCTTGGATCCGCGCAATCCGTCTCCAGCTTCGCGAGCGATTCCGCGAGGACCTTCTTTGTCCTGCGTCTGCACTCGGACAGAGGTGGTGAGTTCTCCTCCGACCTCTTGCGGGACTTTTGTCGTGGGGAGGGCATCCTCCAGTCGTTCACGCTTCCGGCCCCCCCGCAGCAAAATGGGGTTGCTGAGCGCCGCATTGGCTTAGTCATGGAGGTGGCTCGTAACTCCATGATCCATGCGGCTGCTCCCCATTTTCTGTGGCCGTTTGCGGTCCAATACGCTGCGCATCAGCTCAACCTCTGGCCCCGTGTCTCCTTGCCGGAGACCTCACATACACTGCGTTGGACGGGGAAGGTTGGCGATGCGTCGGTGTTCCGGGTCTAGGGCTCTCGTGCCTTTGTCCGCGATACTTCCGCGGACAAGCTCACCTCCCGCGCTATTCCCTGCGGCTTCCTTGGCTTTCCCCCTGACGTGCCTGGCTGGCAGTTTTACCAACCCAGCTCGCGTAGTGTCCTCCCCTCTCACGATGTCACTTTTGACGAGTCTGTTCCATTTTACCGTCTCTTCCCCTACCGCACTACCCCTCTCTCCCCCCCGCCGCTCTTCCTTGCTCCAGGTCCCCCTCCGGTAGACCCCCTCCCCCCTCAGGGTCCAGCTCCCACAGGTGTGTCTCAGGTAGACCCACTCCCCAAGACTGTGCCTGTCGAGGTAGCTGTAGACTCAGGTGCTGCTAGAGGTGTTGCGTCTGGGGGTGTTGCGTCTGGGCGTGCTCAGCCTGCGAGTGCGGAGCCGGGGGGTGCTGAGCCTGAGGGTGCGGAGTCTGGGGGTGCTGAGCCTGGGGGTGCGGAGCCTGGGGGTACTGAGCCTGAGGGTGCGGAGCCTGGGAGTGCTGAGTCTGAGGGTGCGGAGTCTGGGGGTGATGAGCCTTGGGGTACTGCGTCTGCTGGAGGTCCTGCGGGTGCCTCGCCACAACTTTCTCCCTGGCGGGAGCCTCTCGCACCGCAGCAGCTGCGCGCGTGGTTTGCTCAGCGCACACACCTTAGGAGTGGCTTTGCAGGAGCTAGAGGCTCTCCCGCTGGAGGCACCGGAGCTGCTGTTGCTGGTGGTGTTGGTGGCACTAGAGCAGGAGGAGCTGGAGCTGGAGGCGACGGAGCAGGAGACACTGGCGCTGGAGGCGATGGAGCTGGAGGAGCTGGAGCTGGAGACCCTGGCGCTGGAGGCACTGGAGCTGGAGGCACTGGAGTTGGAGACCTTGGAGCTGGCGGCACTGGAGCTGGAGACCTTGGAGCTAGAGGCACTGGCGCTGGAGGCGCTGGATTTGGAGGAGCTCGAGCTGGAGAATCTGCAGCTGGAGGCGCTGGCACTGGAGGCAATAGAGCTGGAGACCCTGGAGCCGGAGGTGCTGGCGCTGGGGGTGCTGGAGCTGGCGGTACTGGTGCTGGAGGCACTGTGCAGCGGCGACTGTTTTTTGTTCCGCCGCCACCGTCGTCTCTGCCGCCACCTAACTCGGTCCTTCGCCTAACTCCTAGCTTCCTGAGTCCACCGCCTCACCAGTCGTAGCCACAGTTACAGCAAGAGTCCCCACCGCCTGCTCCTTATCCTTACGCTGAGAAGATAGACTCTTCGACAGAGCGTCGTGAGCCTGAGTCTCGTCCTGCCTCGCCTGTTCGCGCTGTTCGCACCGGTCATCGTGTTCCTCGTCTGCGTCCTCCTCCTGTCCCCGGCACTCACATTATGTCACTTCGTCCTTCCTCTGTTCTACTGCGAGTTCCCCTGCCGCCTCCTCCTGCGTCCTCTCTTCATTCCGTTCCTGACCCGGAGTCTGACTTAGCTCGTGTTGCCACTCCTACTGTCCCTCGTTTTCTAGCCACTGTTGTCACTGACCCTTCATTTGAGTCCACTGCTGTGTCTGCCCTAGTTTCTGAGCTTGTTGACTTTGCTGCCGCCTGTCGTCTCGACTACGCCGCTAGTCTTGTTGCTAGTCTGAGTCTGACAGTCCTCCGTCCGTCGGGGGTGAGTGTGCTCTTGGCACGGACGTCTTTGAGGACAGACAGGAGGACTTTGAGTGTCTTGCAGCTGCTGTACCTCATCTCGTGGCCATGCTGCTTGCACCTGAGGGAGACCCGGATGCACCAGACATCCCGACCCCGCGCTCTAACGCAGAGGCGATTACGGGTCCCTACTCCTCTCAGTGGCAGACAGCCATGGACGCAGATATGGCATCCTGGAAGTCCACAGGCACCTACGACGATGCAGTTCCCCCTTCTGGGGCGAACATAGTCGATGGCATGTGGATTTTCAGGGTGAAGTGGCCGCTGGGTTCTCCGCCTGTCTTCAGGTCTCGTTACGTTGCACGAGGCTTCAGTCAGCGACAGGGAGTTGACTTCTTCCAGACCATCTCCCCTACCCCAAAGATGACCACTCTTCGGGTTCTGCTGCACGTTGCCGCTCAGCGTGACTACGAGCTGCACTCTCTTGACTTCAGCACAGCTTTCTAACAGGGCAGCCTGCACGAGGAGATCTGGCTGCACCGCCCACCTGGCTTCACTGGGTCGTTTCTTGCAAATACCCAGTGGAGCCTCCGGTGGCCAGTCTACGGTCTCCGCCATGCGCCTCGCAAAGGGCACGACACACTGAGGACGACGCTTGCGGCTCTTGGGTTTGCTCATTCGTCTGCTGAACCGTCGCTGTTTCTGCGCACGGACAACTCACTGCCGCCGTTCTACGTCCTCGTGTACGTCGACGACTTGGTCTTTGCCACTGCTGACACTGAGGCACTCGCCCACGTGAAGTCGGAGCTGCAGAAGAGACACACCTGCACTGACCTGGGTGAGCTGCGCAGCTATCTTGGCTTGCAGATCACCCAGGACAGAGCACGGCGCACCATCACCGTGACTCAGTCACACATGGTGCACCAGGTCCTTCAGCGCTTCGGCTTCCGGTACTCCTCGCCACAGTCCACTCATCTGCCTACCGGTCACTCGCTCTCACCTCCACCTTCGGATGAGTCCGTAGAGCCGAGTGGCCCATATCGAGAGCTTGTGGGCTGCCTCATGTACCGGATGACCTGCACTCGACCCGACCTTGCCTACCCTCTTAGCATCCTGGCACGCTACGTTGCGCCCGGGAGACACTGACCAGAGCACTGGGAGGCCGCTAAGAGGGTGTTGCGCTGCTGATGCAGTACATCGGGCATGGGGCTCGTGCTTGGAGGACGGGGTCCAGTTGTCCTCACTGGACACACAGACGCGTCTTGGGTTGACGACTTGGCTACGCAGCGGTCGTCACAGGGTTACACTTTCAGCCTTCGCTCCGGGTCTGTTTCTTGGCGATCTATTCGCTCGTCTTATGTTCTCACTTCCAGTTGTGAGGCTGAGATCTACGCAGGGGCCATGGCTGCACAGGAGTTACGCTGGCTCACCTACCTACTGACCGACTTGGGAGAGCGGCCTCGTTCTCCTCCAGTTCTTTACGTAGAGAACAAGGCCATGATTGCCTTGTGTCAGGAGCACAGACTGGAGCACAGAACGAAGCACATCGCTCTGCGTTACTTCCTTGCTCAAGAGTTACAGCAGCGTGGTCAGCTTCGTCTTGCTTACGTGGCCACTCGGGCCAACACTGCTGATATATTCACCAAGGCACTTTTGCCTGGTGATCATCTGCATTTCTGAACTGTTTTAGGCCTTGTGCCTACTTTGCCTCACTTGCTCACTGCGTGACTTTGCTTGTACTTTGATGTATATATATACCTGCATGCTTACACTTGCTAGGGTATGATCACTGTACTGTTTGTTATTTTTTATATAACTCTGCATGTGAACTGGCCTTGTGGCCATTTGCTTGTGCTCAGAATGTGTGGTGACTTCGTGATCCACCCTGAGCTTGCTTTGCTTTTCTTGACTGGTCTTGTGACCACTTGTTCTCCCCCACTTTTCTATGGGGGTGTGTAAAAATGTTTTAGTGTTTACATTTGTGTAGGCTGTAGTGGGGGTAGCCCATAAGGGGTACAACCCAATTAGGGTTAGTACTTGTACCCAACTTTTTGCTCAATGCATCCATTCTAGTTCAGTATTCTGACAGGAGTGTCAAGTAATGTTTATATGCATTGTTAGGTTTCTAGGCGACAGTGAGTTGCCCTTAGAGGGTACAACCCATTCTAGGTTAACCAGAACAGAATACTCTCCTACGATATTTTAAGAGCCACATCCACCCTCTTCCCTGCCAAAAGCGATGCCTTGTAACCACCCCACCCGATGCCTTGGCTATCTTCGCAACCACCATGGGAAATTGACATTTGTAGTACAAATTGGTGCAGGGAAAGAGAATGAAAAACGACTCCGGTATAAATTACAAAACACCAAGCTTAAGTCAAGCACTCTCAATTTACCGGTATGTCCCTATCGCCAGATTAGGCGAAAGCACCCTTACAAAATTACAAGCCATAAACATCATGCTAATTAGCCATTCTACTGGAACTAAATAGCAAAACACAGTAATATAGAAAATTGCTCATTTAGAGTCAATCAACAACACGAGGGCGGATGCAACAAGCAAACTTGGCAGCCCCCCGATTCCTAAGCAACAAGCGACCTGGTTCCTGCACATCAGAAGCCGACACAGCAAAAAATTGTCACCAACAGAAACAACCTCAAGACCCGTGCAAAGAACCCACGAGCCAGTACAGCAGACAGCAAGAAGGGAAAGAATGGAGTAGCTTACCGGATCGTCTTCGTCGTCGTCCCCCCCCTCCAACGTTTGCTTTTGCCCTTGGGGCGTTCCCCCTCTGCTCCCACCCTCCTGGTCCTTGGGTGTCCCTGCCTCGGACGTCGCTATGTCACCACCGCCTTCCTTCTTGTGCTGCGCCTGTGACTCCTGCACTGCATTCCCCCCACCCTCCCCTCCTTCACCCTCCTTCCCCTCCCCACCCCTTCCTTCCCACTCCTCATCATCCTCCTCATCCTCATCGTCCTCGTCGTACCACTCTCGCCGCTCATCCACACGGCACAGCCCCCCAAAGCACCGGGGCTGCGGCTCCGCGCAGTTCTTGAGAGAGAAGCACTGCACTTTGAAATCCTCGCTCTCCACCCACTCCGCTGTCCGCACATGCACCGGCTGCACCACCTCCCCTTGCTCCCCAACCAGACCCGACACAAGCAGTTCTGATCCGTCTCTCCCTGACCCCACTCCACTCTTACTCAATCGCCCCGACGGGCGGCTCCAGATGGGCGATAATGGCCGGCATGGCCGGCAAGAAACAACCGGAGCGAGCCGCCCGGCCTGGTGCATGATCCCAGTGCACTGCACCGAACCCTCGTCTAAAGTCTCTAAGATTCTTGCTGATCTTCTACTCGCTGCTCCTCCTTCTCCTCCTCCTTCCCCTCCCTCCACCGAATTCCTCTCGGAAATTTCCGACCGGGTGATGGAGAGGGTTGGCAGCAGACGGGCTGAGTGTGAGCCGCCTCTGAAGGAGGTCCCGTACGGCCCGCACTGCGGCTGCAGGCAGCGCCTGTGGCGGATAACAAAGTCGTCTATAGGGAGTACGTGGATGGAGCACGACATGTGGGCGGAGCCGCTGGGGCGAGTGCGCAGACTAGCGCTGCTGCCAATGTTGGCTCCTTGCATTCCACTCCAGTCGCCGTCCTCACTGTCCTCATCGTCGCTCTCATCGTGAGTTATGTACCGGCCTTGGCTGCTGCTCGCCGGCTTGCTTTGCTCTGGTTTCTTCTGTTTCTGCTCCTGAACTTGTTTCACCTCCTCCGGTTGCTCCCCTGCCCCTGACTCCTTGTTACCTTCCACCTCCTTTCCTTTCTCTTCCTTTGCTTCTTCCTCCTCTTCTTCCTCCTCCTTATCTTCCTCTTCCTCTTCCTCGTCCTCATCTTCCTCTTCCTCATCACCACTTTCCTCCTCGCTCTCTTCTACCTCCTCTTCACTACGGCCCATGACCGACCGCTTCTCCCCTTCCTCCTCTTCCTCCTCGTCCTCGTTCTCCTCGTCCTCCTCATCTTCCTCATCCTCTTCCTCATCCTCATCATCCTCATCCTCACTCCTATCCATCATCTCTCCAAGCTCCCTCTCAAGAGCCGCTGCTTCCTCATCCACATCCATCAAACCAGCCCTACCACCACCGCCAACACCCCTCCTCCCCTCCTCCTCTTCCTCCTCGTCCCTCATCACCTGCACAAAGTCCGTGATTTTAGGAGGAGCATGCTCCGTACCGCCTGCCGAACCTAGCAGCATGGTTCGGATGGACCGGGGAGGGGTTATAGGTCGCCCTGCCACCTTGCGTTTATACAGCGATCGGGGCAGCCAGTCCGCGTCTCCTTGCTGCTGTATTTGCTTCCCGTCTGTCACCAGCGTCTTTTTCTCCCCGGTACCCCCCCCCTCTGCAGTCACTCGAGCTGCCGCTGCCACTGAAACAGACGCTGCCGCTGCTGCAGCAGACGTCGATGCCACCACTACTACTGCTGCTGCCAGTGCATTCGCCGCTGAAGCTGCTGGGTGTGGCTTCGTCACGGCAGCGTCTGCTGGAACCGGAACAGTGGCAGCAGCAGCAGAAGCAGCAGCGGTGGCATCAGCAGTTGCCGTTGCAGCGGGTGTGTGCGGGGATGCAGGAGTGGAAGGCACGCGGCCTTCCTGCGACTCCTTGAGAATGTCACCACTGCAGCTCACCGTCACAGCAGGCCGCCGAGACGATACCCCCAGGGGCGCAGCAGCAGGTGCTGCAAGCCTGGACCACGGGGGAGCATGCGCACGAGCAGCCGTTGTGGTGGTTGTCACTCCCTTGCCCATGGGCCGGTCCCTGTCATCCTCATCCTCCTCCTCCTCCCCTTCGACCTCAGAACCCTCTTCATCCTCCTCATCCTCTTCATTGTCATCCTCATTTCCATTGCTCTCCCGATCCCCACTTCCATCCTCATCCCCATCCACGTTCCCATCTAATTCAGCATCCTCCCGTCCTCCTGGCATACGCACGTGATACCTCCCCTCCTCGTTTTCCTCCTCTTCCTCTTCCCCTCCCTTCCTCGCCGTTTCCTCCTCCGTTTCCTCCTCCTCTTCCTCCTCCTCTGCTTCCTCCTCTTCCTCACCTTCTTCAACCCCTCTCCGCCTCTCCGAACGCGACGGCGCTTTCCCCAACCGGCTCTCCCCAATCTCCCACCCGCGCCCCGACCCCCAGCTCTTCTGCTTCGCATACAGAGCTGCAAGCCCCCTCCCAGACCCAAACCCAGCAGCCATAAGCTCATGCTTCACACTCTCCACATCCTCCCTCCGGCTCTCCAGATTGGCGGAATTGGCACGGGACAGTGGGCACACCTGCTGCTCCTCATACCCCTTCACGTCCACCTGGTTCGGGTGTATCGGCACGGCGAGCCGGTACGCTTCGGAGGAAGAGTTAGGCTCAGAGGATGCGGCAGGGTCGGAGAGGAGGAACGGGGTGGCGGAAACCGCGGACGGGCCGAGAGGGGGGCGGAGCTTGGAGGGACCGGAGGAGGTGCGTTCGGGGGGAGTGAGCGAGGAGAGGTGGGGCGGGGAGGAGAAGGAGAAGATGGAGTGGGACTGGGGGGTGGAAGAGAAGACAGCTAGAAGGGGGTGCTTCATTGGGGTTGAGCCTGCAGGGATGGCGCAGGGGGAGGGGGAGGGGGCGCGTCTAGGGTGGGGAGCGCTGTGGTGAGGAGGGTGGGAGCGGATGTGCGGGTGGCTACGGGCATGAGAGGGTGGATGAGAGGGCGTGACAAGCTGGGGCGCATTGGGGGTCTGTCCCTCCTGTGATGCTCCTGCTGATGACTTCATCCCTGCTGCTACCGCTGCTGCCGCCGCTGCTGCTGCTGCTGCTGCTGCTACTGCTGCCTGCCCTTCTCCTGCTGCTGGCACTGCTGCTCCTGCTCCTGCTCCTGCAGCAGTGGCATGAGGTGCCAAGGCGGTAGGAGCAGCTGTCAGGAAAGGAGCGGACGGGGAGTGCAGCAGCAGGCTGGCATCTCCCGGCGCAGAGGGCGACGAGGAGAAGGGAGCTGGAGCTACAGCAGGAAAGAAGAACCGGTGGGCACTAGACGGCTCTTCCGGTGTTAGCGGCCGTGACGGCGCTTGGGTAAAGACTGTCACCGGGCACACCTGTTCCTCCTCAAAGCACGGCGGCAGCGCGTCCGATTCCACCATGGCAGAGGAGAGAGAGGCGGAGGCAAAGAGTGTGGCGGGGGCTGCTTGGAAGAAGGGAGACGGGGTGGATGCGGCGGAAAGAGGCGAGGCGGAGGCGACTGCGGCTGCGGCTGCTACGGCTGCGGAAACGGCAGCAGCGGCCGCCATGCCGACGGTCGCAGGGGGTGCTGTGGACGGCCGGACAAGCTCGCGACCTCCTCCTCTTCCTCCCCCCCCTGCTCCTCCCACCACTCCCCCTCCTGCGCCTCCCGCTCGCAGCCCTCCTCCCCGTCTAGTGCCCTCCCCACTTATGGCACGATGAGCCACGGTGGAGGCACCAGCAGCAGCAGCAGCAGCAGAAGCTGCAGCAAGGTTGGATGCACCAGGCGCACCAGTGACGGTTGCACCAGAATGGTGCTGGCAGGAGGAGGTAGAGTGAGAGGTGGGCATGCCGACAAGTCTACCAGTCACCCGGGCAGCAGCAGCAGCAGGGGAGTTCGGAGGGAGAGGGCTGAGATGCGGTGCAGTGTGGTGCAGCGCGGTGCGGTGCGGGGTAGAGAGGGGCTTAGCAAGAGTGCGTGTTGCTTCCACCAGGGACAGCCCGTTGTAATTAATGTGCGCGGCCAGGGGTCCATACGGCTCATACATTTCCACTTGTGGGCGAAGGAGAGCACTGGCTGCTGCAGGGGGCTGCCGCTGCTGCTGCTGCTGCTGCTGCTGCTCTTCTTCTTGCTTCCCGTCCCCGTCTCGATCCCCGTCGTCCTCGTCTGAATCCGCGTCTTGAGCATCAAGTGTCAGCACGTCCGCCCCACCACGACCACTGCTCGATGCGCTCGCAACTCCTCCCAAGCGAGCCCCTGATCGAAGCCCCGAAGCTCTAAGATCCCGCGTCTCTGCATTGAAAACCCCCTCTACTCCTCGGGACTCCTCGCCCTCCTTTCCCCCCACCACAGCCTTTGCCTTGCTTTCTCCCCCTGAACCAGCACCACTGCTTGCTGAAGCTGCTACTGCAGCAGCAGCAGCAGCAGCCAGTTCCTTAGCAGCAGAGCCAGATACAGATCCCAGCACCCGCTGCAGCATCTGCAGCTGCTGTCGCTGGTGAGCGTGCTTCTGCAGAGCAATCATCGACTTGAATGCCCGAAGCTCCTTCTTTCTCCTCTTCTGCTCCTCAATCGTGCCTCCTCCTTCCCGGCCATGCTGTGTTGAAGCCAAATCGCTTTCTCCAGCTCCCACCTGTCTCGCACCCAGACCACTGCTGGCATCGGCATCACCATCCGCACCAACAGTAGATGCAACAGCCGCAACCACTGGAGTTTCAGCTGCTACTGCTTCTGGTGCTGCTGCTGCTGCTGCTGCTGCTAATACTGGTGCTGGCACACCCGCCGCCGCAGCAGCAGCAGCCAGTTCCTTAGCAGCAGAGCCAGATACAGATCCCAGCACCCGCTGCAGCATCTGCAGCTGCTGTCGCTGGTGAGCGTGCTTCTGCAGAGCAATCATCGACTTAAACGCCCGAAGCTCCTTCTTCCTCCTCCTCTGCTCCTCAATCGTGTCTGCTGGCTCCTTCTCCTCTTCTGCTGCTACTGCTGCTGCTTGCACCACACCCACCACACCATCACCAACAGTCACAGCAACATCTGCCGAAACCGAACCTTCAACCACCGCTGCTGCTACTTCTTCTGATGCCGCCGGTGCGTCTGTTGCTTCAGTCGCTTCTGGTGCTGCTGGTGCTGCAGGTTCTGCTACTGCTGCTGGTGGCGCTGGTGCCGGCACACCTGCCGCAGAAGCGGCAGCGGCGAGCTCGTGTGCAGCAGAGCCAGAAACAGACCCCAGCACCCGCTGCAGCATCTGCAGCTGCTGCCGCTGGTGAGCGTGCTTCTGTAGTGCGATCATGGACTCAAACGCCCGCACTTTAGCCGACACAGTGCTCATGCGCACACCCGACCGCAGCGACGGATGCACAGAGGAGCGCAGGAACGGCCGTGATGGTGATGATGATGGCGATGGGGACGACGACGGTGCAGCGGGCAGGGCAGAGGCAGGTGCAAAAGCAGGTGCAGCAGGTGAAATCTCAGGTGCAACGACAGGTGAAAGCGGAAGTGCAAGTGGTGATGATGATGAGGCCAGAGATGGAATTTCCAGCAATGCTTTCTCTGTCGTCTCGCTTTCCACCACTCCTTCCGCTTCACTTCCCTTTCCTGCCTTGTCCATCTCTCCCGCTCCCCCTCCTCCCTCCATCGCCTTCTCGCCTGGTGCTTGAGCATCCTCCCCCACAGTATGAAGCAGGCCAGATGCAGCAGAGGCAGCAACAACAGCAGCAGCAACAGCAGCAGTAGCAGTCGCAGCAGCAGCAGCAGCAGCGATAGAAGCCAAGGAAGCAGCATCACCTTCTCGCCTCTCCTCCTGTCGCACCTGCTCCGCTTCCCTGCTATCCTCTTCCTGCATCCCTTCACTCTCTTCCTCCTCTCCTTCCGCCTCCTCATCTTCCTCTTCCTCCTCCTCCTCCTCTTCCTCCTCCGTTTCTTCCACATCCTCCCGTCCCTCTTCATCCTCTCGAAACCTCGTCCCTACCACCGCAGCAGCAACATCCTCTTCATCCTCGCTCCCTTCACCTGCCGCCACCACCACCCCGCCAGCAGCACGCGCACTCCTCCCACCCAAGCGCCGATCCTCTCCAGACGGAGGAGTCAGCAAAGCAGATGAAGGGGAAGAAGAGGCCGAAACCTCATCATCCTCATCTGATGCCTCTGGCACCGACGGCGACGGTGCCGGCGATGGGGACGGCGAAGGGGAACGGGATACAGAACGGGACGGGGATGGGGATGGGGTTGGCGATGCTGATTGTGCAGAGCCAAGCGGGGAATCCGGGGCCAGGCCCATAGAAGCTTCCAGGAACCTCTTCATATCCTGCTCCAGAGCAGCAGCCACGGCCTTGAGAGGGCTGTTCGCGGATCCTCGGAGCGCTGCCTTGATCTGCGCCAGCGGGCCTGCCACCGCTGCCAGCATCGCTGCCACGTTCGCCACTCCCTCCTGCACCTCCTCGGCCTCCTCCGGGGGGAGAGGGAGAGCGCCCTTGGAGGATGCCTCTCCTCTTCGTCCTTCTCCTCTGCGGCGACGCGTGCTCATGTTGGACCGATCGGTTACTGCCCGGGTAGGGGTGGTACGACTTGGGTGCTGTAACCCGGCCGGCTTTCTGGCCTCCGCTGCTCTCCTGCCCTCTTCCTCCTCCTCCTCCCTTTCCTCTTCATCTTCCTCCTCGTCCTCCTCTTCCTCATCGCCCATCACCTCCTGCTCTTCACTTTCGCTTTCCCTGCTCTCCTCCTCCTCCTCCTCCTCGTCCTCCACCACCACCACCACCTCCTCCTCCTCCTCCTCCTCCTCCTCCTCCTCCTCCTCCTCCTCCTCCTCCTCCTCCTCCTCCTCCTCCTCCTCCTCCTCCTCCTCCTCCTCCTCCTCCTCCTCCTCTTCCTCCTCCTCCTCGCTCCCCTCACTGCGAGACCCATCAACCGCAACATCGGCCTCTTTCGGCTTGATCTGCTCCCAAGCAGAGCTATGCAAGGAGGACAAGCGTTGGTGCAGGCGCAGGCGGCTGGCCTCTGCAAAGAAGGTGGTGGAGCCGCCACTGCTGCTGCGCGAGATGGCTTCAGAGATCACATTCGATAGCTCTCGCCGTATGGCAATCCTGCCTGCAATAGGTGCGGCAGCGTTTTGAGGCACTTCATATGTGGCGACGCCGCTGCTGCTGCTGCTGCGCGAGATGGCTTCAGAGATCACATTGGACAGCTCCCGCCGTATGGCAATCCTGCCTGCAATGGGTGCAGGTGGTGTGGAAGTACCAGGCACACTAATAGCAGGCGCAGTTGAAGCAGGTGCAATTGTGACGGGTGCGGTTGACGCAGGTGCGGTTGTAACGGGCGTGGTTGTAACATGTGCAGTTGTAACCGGCCCAGTTGTAATGGGAGCGGTTGTAACAGGCGCAGTTGTAATGGGAGCGGTTTTAACAGGCGCAGTTGTAAAGGGCGCAGTTGTAACAGGCGCAGTTGTAACGGGCGCAGTTGTAACGGGCGCGGTTGTAACGGGAGCAGTTGTAACGGGCGCAGTTGAAACAGGCGCACTCGTAGCATGCGCAGTTTTAGCAGGCACGGCACGAGCAGGTGCATCAGTTGCACCTGTGTGCACCTGTTGCTGCCCTGCTGCTGCTGACATCTCCACACGAGGACTGCTACTAGTCGTGGTGTAGGCAGCAGCGGCAGCGGCAGCAACAGCAGCAGCAGCGATAGCAGAAGCAGCAGTGGTAACACCGGTGCTCTCTTTGGTAACTGCAGCTGCCTGCTTAGGATTAGCAGCAGCAGTAGAAAGAGCAGTAGCACCGGCACTGCCACTAGCAGGAGCAGCAGCGGCAGCTGCAACCAAACCAAGACCAAGACCAGCACCAGCACCAGCACCAGCACCAGCAGCACCAACAGCAGCACCAGCAGCAGCACCAGCAGGAGCAGCAACAGCAGGAGCAGCACCAGCATCACCAGCACCAGCCGCACCAGCAGCAACGGCAGCCCCACCTCGGCCCAGACGCCCTCCCATAATAGACTGCAGCAGCGCTGCCTGCCTGAAGGGATCCGGGCGCGTCCACTTGCTGGAGTGCGCTCGAATCACGTTCCTCAGATCCGCTCCTCCTCCTCCGCCCTCCTCCTCCTCGTCCTCTAGCCTCTCCTCTAGCAACTCTGCCAGCCCGCCACTCCCGGGAGGGCTACTTCCCGTCCTGCTGATCGGCTTCGTCTTCTGAGGCGCCTCAGAAGGCGCCTCAGAAGTCGCCTCCGAGGTTGCCGGTTTGAGTGCCGCCTTAATCGCCGGCTCAGAAGCCAAGGCACCAGTGACAGGAGGACCGCTTACTGGCCTGCTGATCGGCTCTGAAAGAATTGGCACACTCACTCGTGCACTCACAGCTGCAGCACTCACAGGCACACTCACTGGCACGCTCACTTGCTCACTCAACCGCTCTGCACCGCTCTCTTCCATTGACTCCAGCGCATCACCGCCGTGAGCAGCCTGGTGCACGTCAAGTGAATCGCTAGTGGGGCTCTCCTCCAGCGCGTCTGACTTTTCAGTCGGCTCAAAGGTCACCTCGCACGCAGCCTGGTGCGCCTCAAGTGAGTCACTAGTAGGGCTCTCCTCCAGCGCGTCCTCCCACTCCTCCACAGAGCTCGAATCCCCCTCACTCGCATCTGAGTTGAACTCGCCGCTCTCTTGGCTCGGAAGCACGCTGCTACCCGTTACTGTCACCGCCACTGCCACTGCCACCATGCTGCTGCCGCTCGCGCCGTCGCCGGTCCTGCTGCTTGCAGGTGCCATGGTGCTGCGCGCGCCTGCTGTACCGCTGCTTGTGGTTGCCGTGCTGCTGCTAGAGCTCTGTGTGCCAACAGGGAACGTACGGGCAGAGGCGGACGCCTGAGTAGTAGCTTCCACCCGCTCCTGCAACAGCTGCAGCTGCTGCTGCAATAGCTGCAATTGCCTCTCCGTGTCTCGTAGCCGGTCCTCAGCATAAGGACCCCCCACAGCTGCACTCGCCTCCTGCCCTCTGCTGCGCTCAGAGGCCTTTGTTGCACACAGCCTGTCCTGCGGATGAGGTCCCTCCAGAGCAACAGTCGCCTCCTGCTCAGAGGCCTTCACAGCACCCTCCGGGGGATAAGGTCCCTCCAAAGCAGCAGTCCGCTCCTGCCCTCTGTCCTCAGAGGCCTTTGCAGCACACAGCCTGTCCTGCGGATGAGGTCCCTCCGGAGCTGCAGTCGCCTCCTGCCCTCTGCGCTCGTCAACACCATTCACATCAGCAGCAATGACAGCACCAGCGGAACTGGCAGCATCGGCAACACCAGCAACAGCAGCTGCAGCAGCACTCAGTGCATCAGCGTCAGAAGCAGAAGCAGAAGCAGAAGCGGATGGAGAATCCACGTCCCCGGCACCACCACTCCCCACCGCACTGCCTTTCCTCCCACTCGCCAACCCCAGCAGGCTGCTCCCGCGCTCCAGGCTCACTTGCTGCCGGAGCCTGCGCCTGGGCGACAGAAACGTGCTCATGCGCGGAACCCACTGGTTGGCAGCACTCGGTGCCGTGCGCTGCCGCTGCAGCTGCTTCTGCGGGAACTGAAACCCTCCCAAGCCAGCAGCACCAGCACTAGGCGAAGCAACCGCACCAGCAGCGGCGGCGGCGGCGGCGTCTACTCCTGCAGTAGCAGCTCCTGCTTCTTCCCCCTTGGCTGCTGCGCGAGTCGTCTCTGCGAGCCCAAGCAGGACTCGAATGGGAGTGGGGCGGTGAGACGGGCCGAACTGAAGACCGGGAAGCTGATTCTGTTGCTGCTGCTGCTGCTGTTGAAGTTGCTCCAGCACTCCGTTACTGAGTGCTGATGCGGCAACACTCGAAATCCCCATCCGGGACAGTGCGGCCGCTGCAGCTGAAATCTCCGCAGATGTGAGTGAGGAGGGAGCAGCGGGGGAGGCAGTACCTGAGGAAGGCTGATCTCCCGAGTAGAGATAGTCCAAGTAAGAGTCCTTGAGAGATAGCGAGGCGTTGGAGTGGGAAGAGACAGGGAGAGAGCAAGACCTGCCCAGCCCTTGCAACGGCGACGTGGAACCTTGGAGAGTTGCTGCTCCTACGGCTGCTGCAAGCTGTCCGGCAGGAGCCATAGGGTCGGAAAGAGAAGCAGCACTGGCTTCCCGAGCCTGCGCAGCAGCTTCGGTGATGGATGGTTGGAGGGCAGGAGGGGCGGTGGATGTGGAAAGGGGTTCTTGTCGAGAGGAGGAGGAAGTTGAGGAAGCGGAGGAGCATGGGGAGGCAGCAGCGGAGGAGGAGGAGAGGGAGGAGGAGGTGCGTGGGAGAGGGGAGTTGGGTGAGGTGGTGTCTAGCAGGCCAGCGGATGGTTGCTTTTCAAGAGGTGGCAAGAAAGGCCGTTGACTGCATTGACTAGACTGACCTGAAGCTTCAGAAGCGTCGCTTCCAGTGCCTGCTGCTGCTGCTGCTGCTGCTGCAACAGAGGAAGAAGAAGCGGAAGAGGAGGAGGAGGATGAGGAGGCAGCGGGGGAAGAGGAGGAGGAGGAGGATGAGGAGGCAGCGGGGGAAGAGGAGGAGGAGGAGGTGGTGGAGTAAGGGGCGTCAATACACCCAGACGAGAGCGCAAGTCGCTGCAGAGGCAGCAGGAGCGCTGAAGGGGTGACAGACACACAAGGGCCGTCCATGTCACCAGGTGCAGCACCTGCTGATGCAGACACTTGCGAGGGAGCAGAGAGGGAGGGGGATGCTGACAAGGAGGAGGAAGAGGAGGAGGAGGGGGTGAGGATGAGGAGGTTAGAGGAGGTAGAGCCGCGAGCAAGGGAGGAGGAAGAGGCGGAGGCGGAGGAGGGAGGGGTGGGAGGGCGGGGAGAGGAGTGGGCCGGTGACATTGGTCTGGTGGGGGATGAGGGTGCAATGGGGGAGAGAGAAGGCAGAGCACCGGCACCAGCGGCACCAGCGGCGGCACCAGCGGCAGCGGCAGCAGCAGCACTTAGAGGTGAGAGAGAGAGTGCCGCAGGGGAGGCATCTGTACGGCGAGAGAGCAGCGACTGGCGAGCGTGCGTGGAGCGTGGGGAGTGCGGCGAGTGGGGAGAGTGCGGGGAGTGAAGTGAGTGAGGAGATTGCTGCGGCGAGTGTGGGGATTTTGGAGAGAGGGAGGAGGTGAGGGAGGAGTATGAGGTGTCTTTGCCGAGCGTGGCAAGGAGAGGCAGGGAAGGTTGGAGTCGGTTCAGAGTGCCCCGAGCCAAGTCAACCTGTTCACCCTCCTCTGCTTCCGAGCTTCGCATGCCGCCACTCTCACCGCTGCTACCACTGCTGCCACCACTTCTGCCACCACTACTACCGTTGCTATCGCTGCTGCCTGTTGCCTCTTCCAGAGCTCTAGAGACGTCCACCACTCCTCCACCACTCCCTTCCCCCTTGTCGCCTCCACTCTCCCATCTCTCCAGCTTCCCATGACCCTCAACTTCCTCTCCTTGCTTCACCCGAGCCTTGTCAAGAGGCTGGGCAGGGGAGAGAGGTTTGGAAGGGGTGGTGAACTCCGAAGCAGCGGAGGAGGTTGGGGAGAGGGGTAGAAGCGGCAGGAGGCGAGGGGAGTGGGGCGAACCAGGTCTCTGCATGGATGACTGGTGTGAGGAAAGAATGTGAGGATGGGGGAAGAGCAGCAAGGGGGACGGGTGTGTTGGGGTGAGAGGTTGGGGGCGGGGGAAACGGGTGGTGAAGGGGAAAGGAAAAGGGAGGGGAAGAGGGGGGAATGGGAAGTAAAACAAAGATTAAGACGTGAGGTAGTGTGTGGGAAGGGAGGGAAACAAAAAGGCAGGCCAAGTAATCAAACTGTTGTTAGTCAAATTGTAGCCATTGTTGAAAAAAGAGGGGAAGAGACAAGGCACGGCTGGAGGGGGGAGAAAGGGGAGCAGAGACAGAAAGGAAAAGCGGATCAAGCAAATCAAGAGGGGAGGGAGGGCGGGAGGGAGGGAGGGAGGGCGGGAGGGAGGGCGAAAGGGAGGGCGGGAGGGAGGGCGGGAGGGAGAGGAGGGTTGGAAAGCAAGCAGCAGGAGGCTCGGAGCGAGGGAGTGAGCGAGGTGCAAACAAGTGTGCGAAAGATTGAGGGAAGCAGAAGCAGCAGCGGAGACAGGGCGGGAGCGGAAAACTAACCCCGAAAAGGAAGGAGTGGATGGAGAGAAGGATGATGGAGTCGAGCGATATGTTGCGATTCAGTGAGGAGGAAGGAGCAGCAGGTGGGGAAGCCGAGGAGGAAGGCGAGGAGAGTGAAGAGAGCACAAGTGGTGATGGGGTGAACGAGGAGGAGGAGGAGGTGGAGGAGGAGGTGGATGCAGGGTGGTCTGAAGGAGACGCAGAGGTGTGCGAGGACGATGTGCTGACAGACAAACGCTGACTGTCTGTAACGCCTATAGACCCGCCGCTGCTGCTGGTGTCAATGGGAGTGGAGTGAGACGAAGAAGAGGAGGAGGTGGAGAAGGAGGAGGAAGTGGAGCTGAGAGGAGTGGGAGAGGAGGTGGGGGAGCGGCGGCGGGGACGGGGATGGATGGGGCTGCGCGGAGGGGAGGATCGGTGGGGCGGGTGAACGCGCTTGCGGAAGTCCCTCTCGTGCATCTGATGGGATGCGATGCGATGCGATGCGATGCGAGGAGATGCGAGGAGATGCGAGGAGATGCGAGGAGATGAGTGCACCCCGAGTGGGTTGCGTTGATGCATCATGCACACACATACCACACGCAAACATCCACAGAAGCATGCGAGCACGCACGCACAAGCACGTTCACATGCATAAACAGAAACACGCACGCATGCGAGCAGATACGCACACACATGCATGCAAATACACAGGCACGCATTGGTCAGGAGGGAGAGGGGGAAGGACGAATCGGGGGAAGAGGACAGAAGAAAAGCAGTAGGGAGGGGGAGGCAGAAACTAGTGAGAAGCTGCTCTAACAGCCTTATAACACTTGGGTCGATCCAGTAACCACTTGGACAAGTTGCCAAGCATATAGACATGCCTCACGAGCCTTATGACTTTCGAGAATTTTTCTAAGTGATCTTACCAGCCTGATGACAGGAGCAGCTGCGGATCCCGACGATCCCTGTGCCGCCGCTGCAGCAGCAGCAGCAGCTAGCGCTGCCTGTGACGGCGACGGGGGCGAGCACGGCGGGGAGCGGGGTGGGGACTCGGACGGGGACAGCGGCGAGGAGGCGCGTGGGGAGGAAGAGGGGGAGGAGGAGGAGCGCAGGGTAGCCACGCAGGAGCCATCAGTGGATAGCCGCATGCCCCGTCGCTCCAACCCATGCACACCCATCCCCACCCAATCATCCAACGCACTCAGCCCATCCCCTTCCCCATCGCCATTTCCTTCTTCCTGTCTCCTTTCCCCTTCCAAGACTCCATCCTCCTCCTCCTCCTCCTCCTCCTCCTCTGCTTCTCGCGCTGTCCCTTCCCCTCTCCTATGCGCTTTCCCTTTCCTGCCTCCTTCCTCCTCCCCATCCTCACACTCCTCTGCTGCGGATTCTCCAGACATGGACCCTGCCGAGCCTGACCCTTTGCCCTCCCCCCAAACCAAACCTGCTTCCAGCCCTCCCAGCAAAACCATCGACCCACCTCCACCCCCCCCTCCACTCCCTCTTCCTCCCTTCCCCACCTCCTGGTCCGAACCTCTCTCACCCTCACTCCCCCCTTCCAACCCACTCCCCTCGTCACTCTCCTCCCCTCGCCTCACCCTCACCCTGCCCCTCTTCCCACCGTCCTCCTCGTCCGACCCACTCCTACTCCCCCAGCTACTCCTATCCTCCTCCGCATCAGCCTCTGTCAATCTCCGGATATACTCGTCCTCCTCCCAGCTTCTCCTGTCCTCCCAGCTGCGCCGGTCATCCCAGCTGCGCCTCTCGTCCCACTCATCGCCAGAGTCCCTCTCCCTCTCCCGCTCCCAGCTCCTCTCACTCCGCTCACTCCTCTCGCTCCTTACGCTCCGCTCCTCGTCCTCCTCGTCTCCATCCGACTCCCCTCGCTCTCCCCCTCGCCTCCCCTCTCCTCCATTCCTGCCTGCCCAATCCCTCCTATCCTTCTCCTCCTCATCGTCATCGCTCCTCTTTCCTCGCTCCTCTCGCCCCCTAGGTGGTGTTTCTGCATCTGATGTCATCTCCGGCGTTACATCTCCCATCATTCTCGGTGTCAACTCCGACTCGGAAACCATCTCGGGTGTCAAGTCCCCGCCTGATTCCCCTCCTCGCGGTGTCAACTCAACATCGGATGTCATCTCCGGTGTCAACTCGCCGTTCCTCGGTGTCAACTCGGAATCCGAAGCAAACTCCGGTGTCAACTCCCCGCCCTTTTGTACCGCCATCCTCGGAGTCGACTCGAAATCCGACACCGTTTCAGGCGTCAACTCTCCCGTACTCACTTCCATCTCCACATCAGCAGATGCCACGTCAGCAGACGCCACATCAGCAGCTGCCACGTGTCCACCTCGCCGGAGCAGCTTGGGAGTCGGCTCAGCATCCGAGCCGGAACCATCGTCCCTCTCGGGATTAGAGTGCAGAATTAGGTCAAGCTCAGTCGCAGAGAGACCGCTAGATCGAGGCATTGGAGCCGGCGCCACTGCCACAGGCCACCCCCCTGGAGGCAAAGCACTCCCCCACGAGCCACTTCCAAACGCACCACTGCCACCACTGGTAACAATCACACCAGTACCACCAGCATCACCAGCAGCAGCACCACCACCATCACCACCAGCACCGAAGCCATGGGTAGCAGCAATGGCGCCACTGCTACTCGTTTCTCCGCTGGCAGTGGCGCCACTCTCGTCCATAGCAGCACTCTCACCCTTGCTCGCACCCTCGCCCTCCACTCTCCTCTCCTCCCTCTCCGGCCCCACAGCAGGCTCTACCCCCCTCTCTGCTTCCTTCCTTGCCTCCCCTCCCTCCACCTCCCGCACTGCTGCTGAATCGTGTCCTGCTGCTGCTCTTGCTGCCGCAGTCTCACTCTTCTCTTCCCCACTCACCTCCCTCTCTCCCTCTGCCTCTTGCTCTGCCACCCTCTCCCCATCCTCCGATCCACAACCCCCACTGAACCCGCCCTCGCTTCTCTCACCATCGCTGTAGCTCCCCGAGCCAGACACCGTCCGCGAAAGCGATCCCGAACCGGACCCCGAGCCAAAGTCCGAGCCTGCTTCCGAGCCAGACTCGGAGCGTTCGAGCTCGGAGTCGGAGACGGGAGGCGAGCGCAGCTCAAAGAGATCTAAGTCAGGCCCGTAGGACGACAGGACTCGCGCCACTCTGCCTCCCCACCCGCCCACCGCCCCCGCACCCGCACTCTCAGCACCGGCCTCTACCCCTGCTCCTGCCCCTGCACCCCCATCACCCGCATCATCATCATCATCAGCAGCAGCAGCAGAATCGTCAGCAGCAGAATCGGCAGCGCTTACATCCTGGCTTTGACTGGCTTCCTCAGAGGCTTCAGACGTAAGGTTCTCTGCTGCTGCTGCCTCGACCTCTTGCTCCCCACCCTCCCCACCCTCCCCACCCCCACACACACTCGTCTGCAACGCTGCCTCATCATCGTTCCCCTCCTCCTCCTCACCCCTCTCTTCCCCTTTTCCAACTCCCTCGTTCTCCTCCTCTCCGTTTGCCGCCTCCTCTTCCTCACCTTTTGATGCCTCCCTCTCGCCTTCCAAGCCTCTCTCCCCGCCCTCACTCTCGCCTCCACACTCACTCGCCTTCTCACTCCCCTCACTCTCCTCACTCCCCTCCTCTGCATCATCACCACTGTTACCCCCTCCAATTGATATCACCTCAACGACCGAACCCTCCTTCTCCAACTCCCCCCTTTCACTGCCACCGACGCTCCCACCCTCGCTCTCCCCACTCTCACTCCCACTCTCGCTCGCATTCTCACTCGCCCTCTCGCCCTCACCTTCGCACTTGCCCTCTCTCCTCACCTCCTCCTCCGCCTCCTCTCCCTCCCTTCCTATCTCTCCTCTCGCCTCCCCCATGTCTTCCTTCCCTTCCCCCTCAACTGCCGCAGAATCTGGCACAAGACTTGACCCACGCGAATCCTCCAGAGCAGCAACGGGCCTACCAGGAGACGACTCTCTTGACCGCGTTGACTCCCTTGCCTCTACTGACCCTGCTGGCTCGAGCTCCTCCGTTGACTCTATTGACTCTGCTGTTGATGTCCCAAGCACCCTCGTCTCACTCCCCTTCTCACTCCCGCCCTCACTCTCTCCGTCGCTCCCCCCCTCACTCTCCTCCCGACTGCTAACCACCACATGCACTGCAGGGCTCATTGATGCCTCTGCCTGCTGCTCCTCCCCTCCCGCTCCCCACTCGCTCTCCTTAAAATCCCTCTTTAGTTTCTTCAGCATCGCCTGTATCTCAACCGTCAGTTTCTCACTTTCCTCCTCACTCTCCTCCTCACTCCCCACCTCACTCCCCACCTCGCTCCCCTCCTCGCTCCCCCGCTCACTCCTCCCCTCGCTTTCCTTATCCCTCTCGCCATCCTCCGACTTGTCAACCTTTTCACCACTTCCCATCTCTTCCTCTTCCTCTTCCTCCCCTCCCCTCTCCTCAACCTTCATCGCCTTATCACCCGCCTCTCCATCGCTCTCCGCCTCAATCTTCGCACGACCGCTCGGTACAGGAGCCACCACCACCACAGCAGCGCCCTCCGTACTCCTTGCTGCGTCTTCCTCTACCTCTTCTTCTTCCTCCTCCTCCACCTCCTTCTCCTCCTCTTCCCATATTCTTTCCAGCGTGCCCACGCGCCTGTGACCGGCAGAGCACCACCCGCGCCACGACTCGGGCCTTTCCACATCCTCCTCCTCCTCCTCCTCTTCCTCCTCCTCCTTCTGCTGCCGCTGCTGCTGCTGCTGCTGCTGCTGTTCCTCCTGCTGCCTCTGCTCTGCCATGTCTCGGGATGCACACCTGCTAGACTCCACTTCGTGCAATCCCATGTCACCTGCTCCTGCTCCCTCACTCCCACCCACGGCCATCCTCTCTTCCTCCTCCTCACCATACCCTCTCTCCCCCCACCTCTCACCACCCTCATCGCCCCCTCCCTCACTCCTCCGCTCCCCATCATCCGACAAACTCTCCCTCTCCGTAACACTCTCACCATCGCCCACACTCTCTCTATCCCCCACACTATCCTCCACACTGCCCCGAATACTCTCCCCTTCCCCGTCACTCTCCCCCCCTCTCTCCCCATCACTCCCACTCTCACTTCCCCAGCTCCGATCCTCCAACTCTCCCACCGAGCCACCCTCAGACACGGGAGGCGACATCAGGTCAAACAGCTCCGGCTCGCCGAACCTCGTCGCTAGCTTCGCCGCCCATTGAATTCGAGCCGAGCCCTGCGCATGGCCCAGCAGCATCGGCGCAGGAGCCGAACCACCCTCCGCGCCACTGCTACCGCCACTGGCGGCGCCAGGAGCGGGGGTGGCGCCCACCGCGGCGCCGGCGGAGGCTGCCTCGAGCGCAGCGGAAAGCGGCGACAGCGGGTGCTGCTGGCGGGGTTGCGTGGAGAGCGAGCTCGCGTGGCTGGCGGCGGAATCGTGTCCGCCTCCGCCGCGGCCGCCGGCACTTGCGCCCATCCGTCTCCGCAGCATCTCCTGCAGCTCCTCCAACGCGCTCGCCTCGCTCGCCGCGCTGTCTCCCGCGCTTGACGCGCCGTCTGCCTCGCGAAGCGCGCGCGCGTCGTCGTCGTCGTCGTCGTCATCCTCGCCGTCATCACCGTCGTCGTTTTTCCCGTCGTCACCGTCGTTGCCAAGCCCGTCGGGCCCGGCAGCCTCACCGTCTGATTCAACGCCGCCACCGCCGCCGCCGCTGCCATTGCAACGGTCACTGCGTTCGCCGCGCATGGTATCGAGCCCGTTCCGTCGCTGCTGCTCCAAAGCCAGACTCCGAGAAGCGATGCCTTCGACGCTGTCGCCATCGTCGTCGCTGTTGTCCCCGTCGCCGTCGCGGTCGTCTGCCCCGGCTGCCAAGTCGCCGCCGTCGCCGTCGTCGCCGTCCTCGTCATCCGCATCGTCCGCATCGTCCGCGTTCTCCGCGTCCGTGCGGCCCTCTTCCATCTCCTCTTGCACTTCGCCTTCGTCGTCGCCTTTCGCACGGCTGCCGTTTTCCCTGTCGCGCGAGTGCTGGTCATCATCACCATCATTGCTTCCTCTCTCTGACCTTATTTCATCCCTCTCTCCGTCACTACCTCCGTCAATTTCGCCGTCACTCTCTTCCTCCCCTACTTCGCTTCCCTCCCTTCCACATTCCTCACCCACCTCCTCGCCATTACTCTCCTCCTCCTCGCCCCTCTCCTCGTATCCGCGCAACTTTGGTTGCAACAAACCAGCACTCCCGTTCTTCTCCGCCTCCTTTATCCCTCCCGCTTCGTCCTCCTCTTCCCTTTCCTCACCTGCCCCCATTTTCTCTGAAAACTGCCCGTCCATTCTCCCCTCGCCCTCCTCATCGCCCTCCTCGACGCCTTCGCGACCCACTCCTGGGGGCTGCAACTCGTAGTTTACCGCAACGTCGTGTCGTTCTCTGGACATCACCTCACCCTCGCGTTGCGCCTCTCTCTCGTCCCCCGCGCCTTCAGCATCCGCGAAGCCCATCGCGTCGCCCTCCGGATGACCGTTCTGCAAGCCGTGATGGCTGCTACCGCTACTCCCGCTGCTGCTGCTGCTTCCGCTGCTACTGCTACTGCTGCTGCTGCTGCTGGCCCCGCTTTCTTCTTTGCTCGACTCCAGACTAATTCCGAACCTTTCGCTACTGCTTACGGCTTCGAAACTGCCACTTCCGCTCTCGTCACCTTCGCCGTCTGTTAACACGGTAACGAGATCCCTCACGTCGTCTCCGCCGCTTATGGCAGCTTCCCGTCTCGTGACGATCTCTGTTAACGCAATATTGTCTTTTCCGTTTGGAAACGGCGGGGCAGATCCCTTTACGCTTGGAGAAACTATAACCGTTCCGTCAACCCCGCATTCTGTCTGTATATCTCGTTGAACGTCGCTGCCTGTGTATAGACCCATATTGTTAGTGATAAATGGTTAGGTAAGCTTCACTGCACAACTATGACACAAACACGACCGGCGCCATTGCCCTCCCAACAGTGCACGTTAAACAGTCTGTCCTCCTTAACTTAGTCTGCGAAAATCACCACCGCAACGCCGAAAACAATTCTCGGATACAAAAATCACTACGAAATGCTGAATTAGTTACGAGACTTCTCTGCTAACAAACCCTACAATTGTAGCATTGACATTGCTTTACGGCTCAGCATGGGCGTGAATCCTGAAGCTTGTGTACACGTTCCCTTCCCTCTACGTTTAGACTCTGGTCTCTGCTGCTGGTGCTCCAGCCCCCTTCCTCATCCACCTTGAGTCTCTGGATAGTTCTTCAAGACGAACGCAAACAAGGTGCTTTCCGGGTAGGAAAAAAAACTTCCGCACGTCACTGCATTTACTACAAGCGCAACAACCGTCAATACAGTAACCTGGAAATTCCACTGCTGCTCTTCAACGTCCTCAAGGGCAGCTCGCAGAAGCCAAAACCTAGCTGTTGCTGCTGGGAACTAGGGTACGTGGGGGTTGGGCAGGTGGACATTGCTCTGCTGCCCCCGCCGACGCATGAAGCAGCTCCGCCACCTGAAAAGCGAGTTTGCGCCAAACGAAAAGTTGCATTTCAGGTTCCCCCAGCCCAGCCCGAGCGGCCTCGTCCCCGTGCTTGTCCCCCTCCCCTCATGATTGCTGTGTTGGTCGCTTGCCCCACGCGACGCAAGGAGAGGGTCTGTCGAATGACAGGTTGGAGACCTCCACGCTGGACTGGTTGGAACTTTTTTCTGGGTCCTTCTTCCTGATCGCTTGATTAGGGCATCCAAAATTGCCAAGCGGGGAGGAAAAATCAGTGGTGGTTCGCTGAAAATTGTCTCATCTGTACAGTGTTCCGGCACGACCAGCCACGATCATACATCCACGTAAGATCAGGCCGTGACAGTTGGTGCGAAACTTGCCAAATCAAGCAATCGTGCGACAATTGTCCAACTGTGTGTGTCCTCGCGCGTAGTGGTAACAGTCTCGCATGAGCCAATGCACCTTGGACGCACGAAGTCGCACGACGACGGCTAACTATCAGTTGCTCGCCTATTTCGTCAATTGGCCCCCACCTCGTTTGTGGAGACCTCTGGTTTGGTGCCCAGCCCAATCTTCAAATCTCCTGAACCCTGATCCAGCACGGAGGCGCGCGCGGAGAGTTGACGTTATGAACAGAAACCCACGTAAGCTCTCTATTCAAGAGCTGATCAGCAATAAACTTTGTTTTCTCAAGAATATGAGTATGCTGACCGTGAATATTCATCCTCACCTGATGCTGTGTTGCACCAGTCACAAAAACAAGTCTAGTAGTGTGGTAACGCTTCAGAGAGGGGAAAGTCGACCGAGAAGAAGGGACTACGGAAACGAATGCCCTCACCTAACAAGGTATCCGAATTCCAAGCCCATACAAGGGCTTGTCCACGAGATATACAAACGTGTGGGCAGGGCAGGCAACCTCAAGTTTGAACACAATCGCAAACATGTGGATCACTAAAAACAGCCCCCTTTACCCCTCACTCACAAATAACTAACCGTTAATGCAATGGATATAAGCAAACTAAGATTGTAGAAAGTGGTCCAGCATGTAAGTACTAGTGTGAGCCAACACTAAATAGCAAAAACAAATCATTATGATGCATGAATGCAAGCTAGGCTATGCAATGCTGGCAGCGACGCTTGGATGAGTCTTGGACCGTAGGCCATACATGATGCATCGTTGTGTTGGAAACAAGCAATTCCACGCTCCTGTTGTTCGAAAAAATAGACTACAAACGAGGCGAATCACATCGGAGCAACGGCGAGTCAACCGAGGAGGTTGACAGAAATTAACAGCTGGAGGTTACGCGAAGGTCAAAGGTCAGCGACCTTTGACTCGACAAAATACAGTGCGACAGCAAGGACAAACAACTGACTTGGTATTGAGCAGTTGCCCGAGTCGTCACTGTATCGAACTGCAACAGCAAAAACAGTTAGTTGCACCTTCTCGTATTCATTGTAATCTTATAAAAGCCTTTGTATTACCTTGCTATAATCGGTTCATCTTCCTCTCACACACTAGTGCAAAGTGGTTCAACAAGATTACTATACGCTTCCGCAATTACAACATTCCTACACAGGGTCTTAGCCTTGGAAAGATCCTAAGGGCTTTTATCAGCCCAACATGGTATGAGAGCGACAAGGCAAGATCCAACTTCGTTTTAAACTCCTACAACAACATAAGGCATGGCAACTCAGAAGGAGAGGAGTTCCTCCAACGGATCTCCCGGCACTACTCCTACTCCACCTCCAGCCTCTGGCCTACAGACAGAGGAAGGCACAGCAACAAGACCAGCTGCGGAGTCTACCGAACTCCCGCGAATCAAACAACAGGCCTCGACCCAAGCATGATGGAGAAATTCTTCTCCTTCATGTCCTTCTACGAGCAGCACCTGCGCAATCAAACAACAGCGACAACAACAATGGGGTTACTCCAATGAGCCTTGATGGTTCATCCTATGCGAGCGGAAACAAGTAGCAAACTACCTTTGCCCCGTACGAACCTCAACGTGGCTCCATCAGCTTCATGCCACACCAACAGCCTTCACCTGGACAAGAGAAGACACTGGACACGCTTCAGGTTCAATCACAGTTCGCACACGTTTTGAAACTGCAGACATCGACACCCTTTGACGGAAAGGACTTATATACCTGATCATTCGAGTTTGAGCTAATGATGGAAGGCGCGCAGATTCTCGGATTCTTCGACGGATCCCTGCCATACCCAACACACGGGACGCAGTACGACAAGCAACAGTACACATATCAGTCACTGATGGCGTATACAATTCTTCTGCGAAACATAACTCAGAACGAACAGCAGAACATCCGGTCTTATCGAGGGTACGGCAACTCCGCCGAGCTCACGTACAACCACCTGAAGGACCTGTATCAAGCAACAGACAGTGTTAATCAAAGTCGTCTCATGGCACAGCTGACAACAGTGGAAATGAAACCCGGCGAAAAAGGGATGGCGTATATCAGCCGTTGCCGTGGACTGCGCGTCAGACTCCTTCGATGCGGAGGAACAATATCCAAAGAAGCCTTCGTGACAGTTGTCATCACTGGCCTCGGTCCTCATTGGCGCTCCACTCGAGCTATTCTCCGAGCTCACGAGAAGATCTCCGAAGCAGCACTCTGCGCCGAAATTTACGCTGAACAGCAGGATATGGACCTATACGAAGAACGACACAAGAAGAGAGCGTCAGCACCAGAGTTCGCGTTTCACACTCAACGGCGCTACACCAACAACAACAATCGACAGAACAAACATCAAGCTCAACGGTACGTACCACCGTTCTGCCATCTCTGCAAGACGTCAAGACACCCTCGCACACACTGCCCGAATCAGCAGCGGTCAATGCCGTCGCAACGTCAACTTCGGCCCTCAAGCAGTCAAGTGGCTTCTACACAGGCGCATCCCACCAATCAAGTACAGTCCTCAACGTCATCGACGACAAAACCTGCACAAGGTACAAGAAACATCGTGAGCTGCATGACAAGAACGACAGACTCCTGCATCACCGGATCACCACCGTACTACTCACCAGAAAAACAGCTCGACGAGAGCACTCCTCGCCGCGAATCACTGGAGCCCAACCCGACGTATGCAGCCATCGCCCAGAGCGAGCCGTCCGGGAAAGACACCTGGTTCTTGGACAGCTGCTGCAGACAGCACATGTGCTCCTCGGGTTTCTTCGTTCAACGGGAACACCAACTTCAGCGCGAAGTCGTAATCAGCGTCGCCAACAACCAGAACCTGCACACAAGACGACAGGGGATAGTTCAACTTCAATCTCGAGAAACCAACGTTATTCTGCAAATGTCGAAGGTTTTAATCGCAGAAGGACTCGGTTATAACTTACTCGGTTTTAATGGCGAAGGGAATTCATCTCGAAGCAGACAGCACCACTCAGGAGTTCAAGCTGTACCACGGAAGAGGTGGACTCTACATCGGCAAAGCAGTCTTGAAGAACAATGTCTTCATTCTTGACTTCGTTCCAGACCAAGGCACCGCCGACAGCGACGCCATCGTCAACATCACCTCCTGGACACACCCGCCAGATCTCGACCCCGACTTTAGTCCTGAAGGATTCTGGTACTCACACACTATACCTGAAGCAAAACGAATGAGAGCGTTAGTGACAATCCAACAAACATCGACAGCAGCAGAGACAACATCGGCAGCAGTAGAGACAACATCAGTAACAGCAGAGACAACATTGGCAGCAGAAGAGGGAACACCGACTACAACACCAATCGTGGGTCCTCCAACGGCATCAGCTCTCATCGACGATACTCCACCGACTCCTGCGCAGCAGTTGACTCCCACCCCACACGAAGTTCACAGAAGCGCCAACCTCACAGCGGGATTTTACTCTAACTCTGACCTGTACAGGCGATCACCCGAACATCGCGCTAGCGAATCAATCTGGCACGCAAGGATGGGACACCCGAGCAACGCTATGTTAAACAACACGATAAGA